TCATTCAGTATGTGTGTTTACAGTCCCTAGTCTGTGCCTGGTGCAGTGCCAGGCACTGGGAGTACACTAGGGTCACAGGTAAGTAGGGGAATACAAATACCTACAACATAGATTACAAAGAATCAGCAAAATTGGATGACTCCCTTTAGATCCTGGTTGAGCACTCTTAGAGATAAGCACTAAGGGAGATTTTTAAAAGTACAGTCAGCCCTCCATATCTGTGGGTTCTGCATCCATGTATTCAACCAACCACAGATCGAGAATATTTGGGGGGGAAAAAGGTATGTTGTTGCTGGCATGTACTGTGTAGTCAGGCCTTTGATGGTTGATGATTGTGGCTGTACTGAACATGTATAGACTTTTTCTTCTTGTCATTCCCTAAACAATACAGTGCACTGACTATTTGCTTAGCATTTACCTTGTATTAGGTATCATAAGTAATCTAGAGATGATATAAAGTAAGTGGGAGGATGTGCATAGGTTATATGCAAACACTACGCCATTTTATATAAGGGACTTGAGCATGTGTGGATTTTTTTTTCCTGGTTAATACTCACCCAAGGATATTTTTTCCATTGATTTTTAGAGAAAGTGGAAAGGAGGAAGGGAGGGAGTGGGGGAGAGAGAATCATGGATGTGAGAAAGACACATCGTTTGTTTGCCTCCTTCACATGTGCTGACCGGGGCGGAGATCAAACCTGCCACCCTGGTACATGCCCTTGACTGGGAATCAAATCCATGACCTTCGGTGCATGGGCCAACACTCTAACCACTAACCAACACTGGCCAGGGCAAGCATATGCAGATTTTTATATTCTTGGGGTTCCTGGAACCAATCCCTAGCAGATACCAACGAATGACTATATAAAACCCTATTCTTGTCTTGAAGGGAATCTTTGCTTTAACCTGAGAGACAGAAATAAGTTCAGATTAAAATAACTAAAAGAATTCTTACAAAAGAATGTGTACTTCAAAGTATGTAAGTTATATCTCAATAATAAAAAAAAAGCTTAAGGGAAGCAGGAAGAAAATAACAGAGGCTTCAACCTAGTACCCATTGAGTACGAAAAGCATGATGCCAACGAGGACAGTAAGGTTGGAGATCTTTAAGGGAGTTATTGAACCTGAACAACCAATGTGTTGAGGGTCAAGTTGAGGAAGGTAAAAGGAGAATTCAGAGAAAGGAGAAATATTTAGAAAGAAAACAGGCAGCATAATAGTTAACTACGCAGACTGTATCCAAGCAGGCTTAGTTCAAATCCCATATCTTTCCATTTTAACTGGAGGGTTAAATTCCAGATTTTCATCCTTGAGAAGAACCTCTTTAAGCCTGGTTCCCCAACTGTAAAATTTGGATAATAGGATCCTTTTCATTGTATAAAATTATGTATTTTAGAGAGTAACATGTAGCCTGACATATAATAATCTTTAATACGTATAGTAGTGGTAGGATAGACTTTAAAAGTCTGGTTAACATATTGGTATAGATACATGGAGAATGAGGAATTAAAAAGAATGCCAGCCCTGGCCAGGTAGCTCAGTTGGTTAGAGCACCGTCCCGACACGCTAAGGTTACAGGTTCGATCCCCAGTCAGGGCACATACAAGAACCAACCAATGAATACATAAACAAGTGGAACAACAAATCGATGTTTCTCTCTCTCTCTAACATTAAAAAAAGGGGGGGCGGGGAGAAAAAGAATGCCAAGCTTTCTACACTGGGTATTGGTGTCATTAATGGAACCAGGAAAGGTAGAAAGAGCTTTATGGTTGGCACTCATCATTATCTTTCTTTGGACTAGTTGAACAAATGTGCCTTTGGACTAGTTGAACAAATGTGCTAAGAGCACATCAAGTCCATATAATTTGATGAGCTAGAGCTATGCTAGGAAGTTGAGCCATCAAAAGGGAAGGGCCCAATCTAAAGGCTCAGGGAAGTTTCCCTAGAGAAGGTGATGTTTGCAGATAGTCCTGAAGAATGAGTAAGCTTTGAGATGAAAACTGGTGGGAAGGGCATTCCAGACTGAAACAAGCATGAGCAAAGGCATAGAGGTGATACACAGCGTAGTGAACATGGGAAGCTGTAGACAGCTTGACTACACACACAAAAACAAGATGGTGAGGGGGTGGTAAACGAAGCTGGAGACATAGGCAGCGGCCACACCACAGTCACCCTTCACGGTTGTGCCATACTACAGGGCTGCTCCAGCCCTTTCATGGCCCCACGGTGGGGATGGTGTTGCTGGCCCAGCACTGTGCATACACGTGCATTTGCGGCCCTGGGCCCCTCCCTGTTACTGTGGTCCTGGCATATCCTGTTTTTCTAAGCTTGCCCCACAGGGTGAGCAAGCAGGACCAGCTGGCATAGGGTGTTTGGAAAGGGATTGATGAAATGTCCAGGTTGTGTCAGGTCATGCCAGAGGCTGAGATTTTTCCCCTCCTCTAGTCTTTGGGCCAAGACACTTCCTGAGGAGGCAGGGGTGTGACCCATTCCACCCACCAGTGGTCCATGAGTCATTTATCCAGCAGATCTTTGATGAAGGAATAGCGAGCATTACGTTAGGTGCTTGGAAAACACTGAGGAATAACTAGACAGCCCCATCCAATTGGAATGTACTGCATAAACACCCAGGTGAATGTCACAAGGCATAAGAGCTGTGATATCAGTAGCTGACTTTTATTAAAATAAATAAAGGAGCCCTAGCCGGTTGCTCAGTGGTTAAAGCGTGGAGACCGCGACTCAGGGGTATGCATTTTCAATATGGTGAATAGGTAGCAGGGGCTAAGGAAATCCAGCACTAATGTTACTATGATTTTATTTCTATATCGTAATCCATTGTTGTTTCCAACTGGAGGTTTAAAAACTTTCTGTCAACACTAGAGAAGTGTGGCCTATTTAATTCTCATAACAACCCTAATAAGATCATTTCATTTTATGATGAGGAAACCACACACAGGTGAAGTGAATCGCCCAAGGTCAAATAGCTTCTGAGTGGCAGAGCTGGAATTCAAATCCAGTAGTCAGCCTCTGGTGTCTCCACTGCTTAACCACTAGGTATACTGCTATCCAGAGAAGCTGCTAAGCCTTTTATTTTAAATAAATGCTATAAATACAGAGAAAGGAGCAATTACCATGGTTTGAGGGCATCCACAAAGGCTCCTTGGAGAAGGTGGGACTTGATTTGGGCCTGGAAGCATGGGTTGAAAGGTGATAGGAAGAAAGAGCAGATAATCAATTTAGTTACCCTTCTCCTTTGAATCATCACTTTCCTCCTAGAATGGGAAAACCAGCAGGAACCCTAAAGATGATCTAGCCCAGGGGTTCTCAAAACCTCTTAGGATGTGGACATTTTCCTTTAAATGAAAGGTGAACAGAGATCTTCTGTCTTAGAGAAGAGGCCCAGACTTAACCTTACTCCTGACTCCCAAGGGCCACTTCTTTATTTTTACTTATTAATCCTCACCTGAGGGTATGCTTTTTAATTAATTTATTTTTATTTTAAAAAATATTTTATTTTATTTTATTTATTTTTAAATATTTTTTATTGATTTTAGAGAGAGAGAAACATCAGTCAGCTGTCTCCTGCACTCCCCCTACTGAGGATCAATTCTGCAACCTGGGCATGTGCCCTGACCTGGAATCTAACCAGTGACCTCTTGGTGTAAGGGACATCACTCAAGCAACTGATCCACATGGGCCTGGGCTTTCATTGATTTTAGAGAGAGAGTTGGGGTGGAGGGGAGAGAAACATTGAGTGCTTGCCTTCCCGGATGAGTCTTGACCAGGGATAGAACCCAAAACCTAGTTATGTGCCCTGACCAGAAATTGGACCCCCAACCTTTTGGTGTACTTAATGATTCTCAAATCAACTGAACCACCAGCCAGGAAGGGTCATTTTTATCTTTGCTGTTTGGAGTAGGCAGTGGCTCCCAAAAGGTAGGAATGAAGGGGACATTTTTTTTTTAAGTTTAGATCTTTATACAGTACTAGAGGCCCAGTGCATGAATTCATGCATGGGTGGGGTCTGGCTGACCCCCTCCCA